TTCCCGGTCCCCTACCCCCACCCCCTCCCTTCCCAGCAGCTCTGTTCTGATGTCTTTCGCCGTGGATTAGTGTTGCCTCTTCTAGACCTTTATCAGTGGAGTCGTGTGGCCTGCGCTCTCCCGTGTCTTTTCTTTTTGGAGACAGTATCTGAAGAGCTGGTGCCTTTTCCTTGCCCAGCAGCCTTCCACGTGTGCATGTCCCACTGTTCGTACATTTTCATCTTGCTGGACCTTGAGGTTGTTTCCAGTTTGGGGCTGTCGTGAGTAGAGCCACTGTGAACATTCGAGAGCAGTTTTTCGTTGCATGTTTTCATTTCTCATGGGTAAATGCCTGGACGTAGAACTGCTGGATCAAAGCACAGGTATATGTTTAACTTCATGAGAAACTGGCAGCACTTGGCCACGTGGTTGCACCATTTTACTCCTCCACTGAGACTGAGGGCTCTGGGGGCCCCACAGCCTCCCCACGTAGAGGGTTCCAGTCTAGGGAACCTGAGCCGTCTGAAAGGTTTTGTGGACTCTCTAGGCTTTAATTTGCATTTTTCTGGTGCCACTGATCACCAACACCTTTTCATGTGCTTATCGGAGCCTCCTGTGTGTCTCACTGTGGGACGTGCCTGGTAGTCACTTGCCCATTTTGCCAATAGGGTCGTTCGTGTTTAATTATTGAGTCATAGGATTCAAGTCCTTTTTCAGATATGCGTATTGTGGGTGTTTCCTCCCAGCCCGTGGCTTATCTATTCATTTTCTTAACGGTATTTTTTGATGAGTAGAGGAGTTTTAATTTTGATGAGTTCCATTTATCCATTTTTTCTTTTTTTTACAGTTAGTGTTTTTGGGGTTCTATCCAAAAATTTTGCTTATTCCCAAGTCAGAAAGGTATTCTCCTGTATTTTCTCCCAGAAGCTTTATAGTTTTTGCTTCTGCAGGTAGGTCTGTGATCCATCTCTAATTAAATGTTGTGTATGGTTTGAGGTGTGGCTCAAGGTTAATATTTTCCCCATTCAGGTAGCTCACGTTCCAGTATCACTTTTGGAAATACTCTCTTTTGCTCATTGGCTTTCGTTGGCACTGTGGTTGAAAATCAGCTGACCGTGTGAGTGTGGCCTGTTCTGGACTGTCCGTTCTGTCCCACTCACCTGTTTGTCTGTCTATACCAGCACCATTCTGCCTTGACTTGCTGTGGCTTCAGTGTTAGTTCGAATTCAAATAGCATATGTCCTCTAACTTTATTCCACCTTTCAAGGACTGTCTAGGTCTAACTAGGTGTTTGCATTTTCCTTTACATTTTAGAGTAAGCTTGTCAGTTCCTACAAAAGACCCACATGAGATTTTGATTCATCTACAGGTAGTTTGCTGCCGATATTTAGAAATACAATTGATTTTGTATATTGACTTAGTATCCTGCAACTTTGCTAAATGCAGTGTGTCATATATTTTGCTCTGTGGGCCGCTTTACAGAATTTCATGTTTATTCTTGCAGCCACTTAGGAAGCAGGTGCAATCATATTTTATAGGAAGTTTGCCCAGAAATTACATATGATACATTCTTTGCTCAAGGTCATTCAGTTTGTCATTCAGAGTAACGTGGACCAGGATTTGAATTTAGGTTTAGCCTGACTGCAAGGCCTAGTCCCTTTCTGCCTTATAATAATATTTCACTTCTTTAAAAAAAAAATTCACTCCTTTGTCATTTGGATATTTGAACATACTGATTCCATGTGGCTTCCCTGGGTTTCACTGGGACATTTTTGTGTCATCATATTTCACAAGGACATGAATTGGCCAATGGAGCCCTTAAAACAGACATAACAAGAATACAGTGATAAAGAGACTGGTGGTTGTTCCAGCCTAAAGTGGACAGTCAGTGTTTTCCCAGCTTCCTGCACAGAGGCCTGTCAGTGCAGTTGGATGTAGCTGCAGAGGTCGTCCCCCTGAACCCACAGTGTTCGTGCGTGTTGGCTGTTGCTAAATCTTCCACGTGTGGGGATGCCTTAAAGTTTGTTCTCCCTCTTTCTCTCCGCAATTGCTGCAGGAAACCATTTCTGTACAGCCAAGGAGCTGGCAGAGGAGATCAGCGCGCTGACATCGGAGAGGGAAGGGCTGGAGGGACTCCTGGACAGGCTGGCGGCGCTGAGTTCCAGGGACGTCACCAAGCTGGGGAGTGTGAAAGAAGATTACAGCCGGCTGCGAAGGGAGCTGGACCACGGGAAGGCTGCCCACGGTGAGAAGTCATAACTGTCGCCTGGTGAAATATTTATGAGATTTATTGTGTTGTGCGGCCAGGCAGGTCATTCTGGGCTTCGCGTGGACGTCCCTGAAGTGCGGCCTGGAGCACACACTTCTGCTGGAGGATTTTTTTGGCAGGAGCCTTGGCAAATGGGGTAGAATTACTTGGCAGCTTTTGTTTTGCGATTACACGTGATGTCCTTTCTTTTTCTGCTCTCTTCCCGCTCCTCTCCCTGGATTTGCTAACGGCCTTGTAATTATTTAGAGCAAGCTCTCCCTTGGCACGGGGCTTGAGAACTTTCTCTTGTTTCACAGTTGTCTTCCTTTTGCTCCTGGCTCTGTTTTCTGGCTTGACAATCACAGATGGACGCAGGCTGACTCAGAGGGAACCGAGAAGAGACTGGGAAGTGGCCCTTCTCTGTGCGCTTTCTGAGAGTCTCTTGCCCCAGGAATGATGCAGGAGATGCCAGAGCTGCCAGGGCCAAAGTAGCCGCCTCTTGGCGGGGTCAGAGTATTCTCGTGGTCTTTCCCCAGGCCTGTTGTTAAGCGTAACTGAGGTCAACCTGAGGCTTGCTCCCCGAGGGATAGTCTCAGAAGATGCCAGTTTAGTGCAAATTGATAAAGTGAAAAACTTACTTCTTTAAAAAAGTAAAGAATTTATGATGATTCAGTTTCTATTATGCAGAATGCAATCATAAGAAGCAAATTCAGATTTAAAATATATTAGGTGCTGGAACCTATTCCTTTACCAGTAAATGAGAGAGTAATTCCCATCCCATAGGCTGATATAGTGGCTCAGGTTAAACTAGGCATCTTATAAAGGGTGTGTGTGTGAGTGTGTGTGTGAGTGAGTACACGCCCTTGCATTTGCCCTGGGAACTCCAAGTTTCTGGAGGGCAGAGATCACACACAGCATATCATGGTCCCTACATAAATTCTGTTTATGAAAGACACATCTACTAAGAGTGACTATATTTACAGACTATGCTTATTTCAAAAGCAGTAAGAAAGGACTGGGGGTATTAGGTGGCTAGATTTGAAATAAGCCAGCGGAAATTGGGTGTGTCATTTTCCTGTGAGAAGGCTTACTAAATGGCGCGTGGAGAGGTTTCGTCACAGAGCTCGGATGGTCATTGTTACCACGTCTTTGTGGTGATGGACACCCCTAAGTTGGCTCAACTCAGAGCTGCTTTCCCCCCCCC